ACAAGTGCAATTATTTTATTTAGGTACCGACCTGACGAAGTAAATATGTAATAATCTGCTTGTAAATGAGAATGAGTATAGTAGTATTTGTACTAATAAATGTAGTGTGTGCCTAAATACTTATTATGAGTACTTACGTAGTTGTAGAAAATGGTATTTCCATGTAAATTGACGTCATAATAGTTCGATGTGTTTTTAATTTTTTGAGTAAGTATGTAAGTAAGTATTTATAATTGAAATGATATGTCTGTCTATGAAAAGTTTATCGTAGATATAACAATGAGTGTTATTAAAATTATATGCTATAATGATATTTTATTTACAAAGGTTTCAAAGGTAACTGTCGTCTGTCTGTGAAGAGTTTAAATAATATTGTAATCGTGTTTTTGTGAATTATAATATAATTATGTAGATTTTATAGGAATTTTATACTACGTACTTACTTGTAAATATATATTTTACATATTGCCATCGGCGATCTTTCGTTGTTTATTTGCAAAATTGTATGGTATGACTGGTCTTTTGAAAAAAACACTTGTGTTAGTTAAATACAATTTAACCACTTGAATGTCAGTGTGTATAATGTATATGTATGAGACATAATAGAAAAACATTCTGTCTCGCATAGAACCGCATTCCGGGATACCAAGGGTTAAACAGTCGATATAAAAATTGAAAAAGTGTAATAAACCATTTTTTATTACACATGTGTTGTATTTATATTTTAGTTTAGTTTTACTAACTACTTAAATAAGTATTATTTTGTGGAATTATTTACCACTCAATAAATATTAGTTTAGTTTTATAGAACCTAGTTACATCAAGAACTTTTTTGATCTTTTGGATTTGTTTAGTGTTAGGTTCTATATTTATAAACCTACAACTATAATGGCAATTAAAATTTCATCACGTTAAATATTAAATTATGTTCAAACAAACAGGATATATTAATAACCGTTTATCTATGTAGTAACAATATTGTCTTAAGTATTTTAGTATGTCTCACGATATAGTTATTATAAAAACCGTAGGTATTATCTATTAGGGTTTAATAAATTAATATTTTTGTGTACGGAAAAAAATATTGAGGTAGCAACGGTACCTATAAATACTGCTGTTTAGCCTATGTAAATAAGAACTGCACTCATTATTCCATGAAAGAGAAAATAGTACGGGTGCGTGCTTAAATCAATTATTGTTAGTTAATTACAATAGGTACATACCACTTATACTTTATTTCTAGCACACACTATTCACTTCAAATATAAATAAAATATATTTCAATGAACTTCGCGCTTTTACGATTATGTTCATAAGTTTGCGCGGTTCTATAGTGAAATATAAATAAGGTAGCACGCAGCGCGTGTAGCTGCGCGCGAGTGCCGCGCGACTAATGTTCTGATAGTGCGCGCGCGCGGGATGCTGCGCTGTGCGCGTACGCATGTGAGGTCAACTGCGGCCACCGTCAGCGCCGCAGATCACGCTTAACTTACCGCCTCAAATTATCCTTCACGCATCATCAATGATTCCGATCACACTTTTTATTAAATTTCAAACATTTCAAGGTAATCATTATTTTTATTTATGAACAAAAATACAAATGAAAATTAATATTTTATTCATTATCACGATAAATTACACGGATTACAAGTAAAACGATATGACCAGATCCCCTAGGAGATATTCGCTACAACATCCGTAAAATTGAGTTTAAAAATTGCGAACTACATTAATAATAAATAAATTCACGGCCAATTTTAGAAATAGACCAAAATACTAGGGATCTCATACCTTAATACTTAAGATACAATATTTAAAGTGAGATTACAGTCCATTATATTTGCATATTGCTTACAAATGTCATTGCGATTACAAGTCTATTATTGCTTATTAGTTTATTAACAATAATACTTTAAAAGAAACATCGCATCACAGCTTTTTGTCCAATTTTAAATTAGGGCTAGGAACGATTCATATCACTATAATAAGTCCTAAATTATTCTCTACGTAGATATTTGCTTATATAAATGCTGAGCTTGCTTAAGTTTGGAGCAAGGCAGGAATGTGTTCAGCCGTAACTCGCGCCTACTTAAAAGTTAATTCACTACATTGAAATGTACCTGCATGCTGTCAACTGAACATAGGTACAGTCAAGTTATTATATCTCGTTAGAAAATGCAATAAATCGAGTATGGTGAACAAGGACACATAATATATAAAAATAGTATTCAATACATTAATTCATACAACCATAAAATCATATTTAACAATTGACGGGCCAAGGTGATAATAATTTTGATAGTTTAATTTATACTCCTTAAATATTATAGGCAAAGGTTTATAATCTTCAAAGTTACATCAACAATGACTAAAATACGACGTTCCCTATTAATAAGAATATTGACTATACTAACGACCGAATACTGAAGGGCTACTCAATTGTACATAAATGTCGTGCCATCTCTGTAATTTTACAAAGAAATTGTAGAGATAGAACTATACATAAGTGCGATTTAAAATTGAGAGGCGTTTGAGTATTTGGTCATTAATCTTTTTAAATTTAACCCAAAATGAAGTCTTAGATCGTATTAGGGATTCAGCGATATGAATTTAACTGACACTATTCACTTTTTCAAAGTATTTTAAATAATTTCAGACATTTAACAATATTTCCTATTATTCATAAAAAGTCTAAATATTCGATTGATAAATACATAAATAATTCGAGCAAATACTTATAACAATGTCTGCATTGTATGTTTGTCCAGCCGCCACCGTTCGGGGTGCAAAACCAATCATATTTTGAAAATTAACAGAATAAGCATAAGAGTTATATTTAATAGGAGTTCTTATTTTGTACTGTTTATGGCACATTTTTATTTGAATCATTTTTAGACGTATTATTGTTGTATTGTTTGTATTACCAATGGATAGCTTTATCGTCATTTTATTCTGTTCTTTTCACGTATAGATCAATCATGCACCCCGAGTTTAAAACAATAAGGTTAAAATCATTAACCTTTTACACAAAACAATACATTTAAATAAACACCGTGATTTTAATCAATTAGAAAATAAATTAACATCGTTTCATTTCTTTTTACTAAGAAAAATAGCCATGTGGTAAGTAGACTGATAAATTAATACATGTATCACACAATAGTCTGTCATTTATAAACTAACTAGATGGCGCTATTGCAGAAAAAGATCCTGTTCGTCCACTTATTGTTTTCACTATTCGATGATTTGACATTTTCAAATCATATTTTGTATAAGAGAGCTTCTTCTCCAGTAGCGCCTGTGATGGTAAGTACCTAAGTTAGCCTCTGAATAATAAAGTAAATCAAACATATTTCAAGAAAAAAAGACATTAGATCAAACCACGGTGTAGTTATATATCAGATAGATCCATAAATACCATCATGGTCGACCTATGTATAAAGTGCATTTTTAATACATAAAATATAATGCCCATAGCACACGGCGTACTTTTATATGCGTTAGGAAACGCGTATTAGGAACGCATGAACGCAAGCGCTGATTGTTGCGTTTGTATTATAATACGCACATTGCGGTCTAATTTTGTATGAAGCGCAGTGTGCTATAGGCCTAATAGGTATATGGACTTACATCTAAAAAGCTATTTCTTTGGGAAAAATAGGAATGCTTTGTAAGTCACCCATTTAAATACATGCAATATAAAATATTAATTCGCTAGATGTTCTCACAAACGCTATGTTAATAATTGCATTATTATTGCTGCGTAGTATACGCTGATAATATCATTGCTTACTCATTCCATTTATTTAACGTGATAAACATCAATACAGCTGCAACTTCTACATATTTATGTACCTAATAACTCTAACATGGTACCATACTTCCATTCAAGCTATTGTGCTTTAATTTTTCAAAACACAGGGTGTACGTATCTTCAGAATCTATGTTTTTGTCGCGATATATATACATATAAGATTTAGTGAATTCTCAAAAGTGCAAAATGATTACCAATTCCTCTTTCTTGTTTCAGATAATTTTTTTTTCTGAGGAAATCCAGATATGCGTGCTGTATTTGACGTTCAATTCCAAGCGATTACCGTTATGTACTTTTGTCTAGCTGTGAATATATATTTATATGGATTAGATACAAACAGTTATTTTTGCGAATTTCAAGAACCATTTAAGGAAGGAATGTTGTCACTGAGCAAGCACTGAACTGTTTAAAACAATTGTTTTTTTGAGACTGGCGAATCTTTTGCCGGAGAGCTACGCGAGTAAAGTTACGGCAAAGGTTTAGTGCTTCACTCATACAAGCCTCGTATAACTAATATTTTAAATGATCGCGCGCAGCTCCCAAACGGCACACGGCACATTCGCTGCGCAGTCGCCAGATGGACGCACCCTTAGACAAAACTTTTCTTTAGCGCAATAAGGTAATCCACTTAAGCCAAAATGCTGTTTTGGGAATGATGATACCATTAATATTATGCTCGCCGTTTACAAAACTACGGGATTATCTACCCTTCCTACAACGTATCTGGAAGGACACGACAACCAAATACTTGCATTTATAAACTTGTAAATTGACACGAGAACTACTCAAACACCGTCTTATATTAAAAAGGTCCATTGTCACTCAAGTTTTGTTTGTTACCTCTTGTTTCTTTAAAGACCCGCAGACTTTCTTTATTTTTCATAAAATTCTAGTTAGTAAGTTTCTATGGTTTCAATCCGTAAACTAAAACATAACAGACTGGTCATAAACACGATTGTGCAAATTATTTATATTGAATGATAGAAGTGCTCAAATAGACGAAATTGAAGCAAATCTGTGGGCAAAACATCTAGTCGAGTTATTGGAAATGACCGTAAACTGCGTTTGAGATAACTGATCGACGCCATCGCTGTTTCTGTTTACGTTGCACTTTCTTAGAACTCCTTTTGAAATCGAGGCGTGGCCCAAGAGGTAACGAGAGATGCTAGAGCAGTTTCCCGTGTGATCAGTGAGTCGGGAGTGCAAGACGATCGGCGTGGGGGCGTGCGCGCAGGCGGAGTGCTACGCGCATGCGCACTGCAGCCACGCATGTCGCCAGCGCGTGCGCAAACACCATCACCACTGCACACAGTGATACAAACCCGAATGCAGATCCTGGCAACAAAATACAAAATATGTGTTTAATTTATTAACATTTTCTCGATTCAATTAAGAAGCCTGAGGAAACTTTATACAAACTCGTACTAAGACGAGTTTGTATTAAGTTTAAAGTAATCTAAACGAGACCTCGTTCGTCGTTCTGATTCCTTAAACGTAAATAAAACTTGTATTAAGACCTCTGATGTCCAAATACTCAAACGCCAGTTAATTTTAAGTCGCGTTTAAGTTTAGTTCTGTCACCACAAATTATTAGTAAAATGACAGATATTCAAATACCACTTTAAAATTGAGTAGCTTATCGTGGGCGTGAAGTGAGTACTTAATTGAATCGGCTTCAATATATCTAGAAGCTGGTAGAGTAGGATCATGAGCCAAATGGTATGAATGCTGGACAAATCGAAATCAATAGAAAAGTCGACGTATGTTGTATAATGCGTTTTTGATCCCTTCTAGAGCTGTAGCTTAGGTGAATGCATTGCTATTCTTGATCATTTTTCAAACTCACCAGGCTTATTCCAATCCAAAACTGGGTAGATGGCTGGCAACCCAATCCTGTCAGTACCACCCACAGCCCAGTAGAAGGCACTGAAGACACCATACGCGAGTCCCGCACCGGCACTGTACAGCGCATGCGCAGCGCGCACAGGGTGTGACGTCACCAACAGTTCTATCACCATCACCAACGAGTTACCACCGTGGACGAGCACGTTGATGGCATTGATCTCGTGGATTCCTGAAAATAGAAGATTTTTTATTAGGAAAATTTTATAACTCCTTTTTTTGTATACAATGGAAAATTTACGTGCATGCTAAGCATGGACTGCTGCTTCTTTGACCTCGAATCGATAAGAGAAGATCTGACCGATAAGATTATTGGGATTTTGAATCTAGATTCGTCGATGGAAATGAAAAACGAATCAAAATAGTACTTGAACTATAGTAATATGCCTTAAAAGAGACCCTTGTAACAAATGGTTGCTTAGTACATTGTGGTGTCACGATGCTATACTATTTTTAAAGGCGCTTATATTTAAATGCAATGTAGAATTGCTACTATTAAAATAAAAGGTTCATCTTAGTGCTCATTTTAATCCTTTATTACACAAGGTGTTAGGAAAGGGTTTTGTATAAATTCTTTATATATTCAAAAAAAGAAGATATAACCGACTTCAAAAAAAGAAGAAATTTATCAGTATGTCCTATTTGTATGTATGTTTGTTCGATATCTCTCTATCGATCGATCTCTCTCTTTGTCTCTATCTCTGTTTGTATATCTCGCGATTGGCTAATCTGATTTTGATGCAGTTTTCAGAAGTGCTTGTTATATTTAGGTTACGAGTTTTTATTTTTTAAAGAAAATTAAATATCAAAAATTACTTACTAGGGTCATGGACCAGAGTCCAGTAAACGAGTGAGATGACGAAAGCGAGGTCGGTTGCGATGTTATGTGACAGCCAATAGGCGCGGCACAGCAGCGGGGTGCGCACGCGCCGCCCCAATGGAATCGGGATCTCATCCTCTTCGTACGCTGTAAAAAGTAACATAAGACTTTGAAAATAAATGTCAAACTAGGTTGTTAATCAGATTACAAAATTAACGTAACATTAATGTAATATTAAAATTCCATAAATCGGTACATTTTATATTACATCCAATAAATGATAATAATTTTCTATGAATTATTTAGGAGTGTAATATTATGTATACTCGTACATAGTTCATCTTCGTTTACATGCACTTATTGTATTTTTAGGGTTTTGTACGGAAAATAGAAAAAAATAGGTAAAATGTCAAAATCTGACTACGTAACACGCTCTAAAATGTATGTTCCGCGTCTGGGTACATGTGTATGTGAACTTGTATGTTTGTGAACGTACCCACGACATAGGAGAAAATCTTAGTGTGGGGCAACGTTTTTAAAAAAATACAAAGAAATACAAAAGACATATATACATTATATAAAACATTTCTTAATAGAAAATTTTATTGTTTCATACTTTGTATTCTTTCAAATAACTTATTACATTATTATTTAACTAAAAACATACTCAGTTTAGTAGCAAATGTTAACTACAGTTGTACATTAACATGTTTGTAACTGGAGTTAAAAAGGGACAGTTGAAGTCAATGTGTGTTCCTGTCAATCATAATAAATACACAATATGCATGTATGACGTCTGGTCTATTTGCCGTCAATACATCTCAAATACCCTCAGCCGAGTGTCCGGACGTGTTAACGAAAGCGAACGTCGTATATTAAATCCTTTTATGTCGCACAATTGTCCGCCACTTGCCATTCAAGTGGACAACGAGAACGTCTCCAATTTTCAACAATAGCTGCGGAATAATACCCGCTCCCTGTGAGCTTGGCTCCGATGGAATGAGGAACCAATAAGGATAATTTGAAGCACAATGGACAGCGGACCCGCTCCGCTCTGATCTTAATTGACGCGAAATTGTTACCAATCAAGAGTTCGTGACCTCTGTCGATAGCATGCATCAAAATGTTATCCAAATGTCTTTATTTGAATATAAATGCCCTTGACAGCATCGACACGAACAAATAAGCCAAGTATCGAAAGCCAACCAATAATGACGTTATTAAAAGTTTTCATCTAAATTGATGAACAGTCTAGACATGTCAGCGCATACCGTTTTTATTGACGGCACGAAAAAGACAAAACACGTGTTCCATCGATCCCCAGCGAAGATGTTTATGTGTACGACATGCGATTCAATGATTTAGATTAATTGATTCGCGTGAGGAATTACGTCGTCCAAGGAAACCGTTTTGTGTAATAAACGGACCCACGCAACACACTTGACATTGAAGAGCTCGACCTGTCAACAATTTGCCGATCACTTTCTATGTTAGCTTTGACAATGAGCGCCAAACTAGTTTTAATCTGGGTTGCTGGACCGTAATTGTGTCAACATAGTTTAATGGCTCCGGAGCACGAAATCTCATTCCGTGCGTATACGAATGCTCAGTAAACTTATTTCAGCAATTTCAGGATCAAAATTGTGAATGGAATTAGATTTGCGGTTAGCGCGTACAATTTTCTACATTTTTGCGGCAATTAAATAACTCATGAACGTGGGAAAACAATTGATGATGTCATATTGTTGTTAATAAGGTAACGGGCAACATTCACAATCTGCACTACACGTGTCAGATCCCGAGACGGAAGTTTTCTGTACAGCCGAGTGTTTACTAAATATCCACCTACGCGGTTGCCTGCCGCACTCTTCAATATAGCTACGTACGACACTGTTAATGTTAAAAAACGCTGTTGTTTTCACACTTCTGCTGGTGCCACTGTCGAAAAAGATCATTAGAGTCAATTGAGTAACAAACAAACACACAGACTTACAAATAGTAAGATAATTAATTAAATTATCTTAAGGGAACGGGACCTCTCAACCACGTCTAAACATCTTAAGGGAACGGGATCAGTGATCACGATCAGGGATCATTGGAATGACATAGGCTGCGTATTATCCCATGGGAACGCGAGCGAAGCCGCGTGCAGAAGCTAGTATTGTATATATTAAGAAAATTAAAATCGGTACCAGGAATTTCAGTACGTGTTTTACTACTACTAGTGATAATACTAGAGACATGTATAATTACTGCCTACCGCCGAGTGGTCGCAAGTGCGACTGCCGGGCAAAGGGTTTCGGGTTCGATTCCCGGGTCGGGCAAAGTATTACTGGCAGTTTCGATTCACGCACGGAACAACTCTTTATGTACTCCACAAGTTCTTGTTCTGGGTGTGGGTGGCATTTGTATGTAAAATCTTGTGTTTGTAAACGCAACCACGACACAGGAGAAAATCCAAGTGTGGGGCAACGTTTATAAAATGAATAAAAAAAGAAATAGCATGCAACACCTTTAAACCTATTTGTAAAAATAGGAAGACTAAATATACATGTGTCCGAAACGGGTTAATTAGGTTTTTCTCGATTGAATTGGCGAATTTCATTGATATTTTTATACGGAACGGATGATTATACATACATGAGATTAAAATAGATTTACGTCATCTTGTCCCGTACGCTATCTCGTCAGCTCAGTGGCTGCAAGTCTAGACTGAGTCATTGAACTTGGCCTTACAATGTAACTAATTGAATTGATCGCAAAATGGACTTTTATTTTTTGTGTCCAACTTAAGACTTACATTACTGCATGTAGTTATAAACGTTAAGTAATAGCGTTGAAGTTTAAAGCTCCGTGTTTCTATCTAAAACGGAGGCACGTGTTCAATTGGATTTTGTAAACTTTTTGCAGATGATTTGACTGTCCAATTCAATAATGAAATACTTATTTTAAATCCTCATCGATGATTGGTCTTACAGGAAAATTGAAAAATCGTTCTATACCAAGCTCCCTTTAGGTTTACGATTATTATGTTTATTTTATGACACAAAAGGGCCTTCTACACTGAGGAATAACTTTGAATATTTGACAATTATTTCATACTAAAAATTGTAAAGTTTTAATGGGTTTTAAAAAAATTCTCAGTAGTAGCACGGAGTCTGGAACTGTGCCCGGTATACGGCTATAGGCTCACCCCCTATTACATGGGACTCATAACATAAATACCGAAAAGTGGGTGTTACATTATACAGTGGCATAATGTGCACTACGGGGATAAAAGGTGTGATGTTATGTTATGTGTTAAAAATTGTCAAATGTCAATTTTATTCAACAGTTAAGTAATTCTTAACTGTTGAAAAATCGGCCCTAAAAGAATACAACCGGTTAACACCATTAACATTAAGTAGGTATTCATAGTGATGTTTTTCTAAGATAGCCATAAGAAACTTACTAGAATTACATTTTTGTGATCTATATCTGATTACGACGGCTAGGGCGAGTGCTGACTGTAGTGTGATGAGCAGGTAGCCCCAGTTGGTGAAGTATATGAACCACTTCATATAGTTCAGCTCCCTGATAGGTCCATCATACTGCCTCGGCAGATGTTGGCACGCGAAGCTTGCAATACCAGTCGATATCACCGAGATGAATAGTAGCCATCTGTAAACAAAAAGCAAAGAGTACAATACAGGGTGTAATGGTTTTCACAATGGTTTTCCTGCTACATCAACTTTGAGCAGTTGATTACAACTATCACACTAATATTATACCTAAATGTGAGTTTCTTTGTTTGGATGTTTGTCCATCAGTCACGTTGAAACTACTGAACGAATTTCGATGAAATTTGGTAAACAGGTATGGTATGGGCTGAGTTAGGTGATAGGACTTTTTATCCCGAATAAAAGCTCCTATTTTTTTAGGGGGGGAAATTATCGAATTCCTTCTCCCGTCTGGATGAGGCAGGAGGGGGTGTCAGACTCTTAGTGACTAAAAACCATCCCGTTCCTGCCCTCCGAGCCGGAGCCCCGGCAACTCGTTAAGTTTTCTGTGGCTCTGCATCGGCATCAGCCCTATTGGAACCTGTCTGTGGTGGTCTGATGATTCCCTGATAGACTCTTTCCATCATCGGACCTCAAGACAATCGGCGAAGAATTCCTGGTAGATATTCCACCCAAAAGCCCGAAGCGATTCGCATCAAGCTTTCTTGTACGTATTGCTAAGGAGTAGATTTCTTTGCCAGAGTCTGTTCGTTGTGAAGGGTATATATATATATATAACCTGGGTGTGTTCAAGGCCCGAGTGAATAGGTTGCTTAGGGTACGACGCGCTCCATCGTAGACCGCATCATCGCTTACCACCAGGCGAGATTGTGTACAAACGTCAGCTCATCAAACAAAAGTCCCATGTTAGATTGAGCTTACTTCTATACCTCTAGCATCTCAACAGCCTGTGATACTTCAGCTTGGACTGTGGGCCTCATCTATAAAGAGGTTTTGCCATAATGTCCCGCAAAAAATCAACCTCTTTATTGCTACTGTCCAATCAGTGATTAATATACTTAATAATTACTACTGAATATATACATGTATATGCCTCGTAGTCGTATATCGGATATTTGTATAGAGATAAACTTTTACTGTATTCATTCATATAATAGATATAGTATACTATTACTTCTGTGAATGACTGGCAAATATTCTCGTTTTATTAAGTTGTTTATACCTATCGATGTGCCATTGATTTAATTCCATACTAATAAATATGTTTATCTGTCCTTTCATAAAAGAACAGAGACGAAATGTATACACTGTTATGCTAATAAAGCTGTGTCTATGTGCACGTGAGGTAGCATAATATTAAAAACACATTAGTGAACAATTTAAGGTCAAACATCTGAAAATAATTATCTATAACATTTATAAGCTTTAGTCTCTATAACTTACCTGTATATTAGGTATGTAGTGGAGGGATGTGGACTAGACTGCCATTGGCTGCAGGCGAAATGGTGCGCGGGCGCATGGTCGAGGTTCAGAGAGCGCCGGCTCGCCTGCCACATGCGACCCAGCATGGCTGGTTTGCATGACTTCTGCATGGCTACGAAAAAAAAGAATATTTAAAGTAACTTCTAACAACTGCTGTAGACAGAGGAAATAAAATTCATGAATTTTATTGTTTTATATAATGATGATGAATATTAATATAATTACTGAAATATTACAATCCTGCATTCCTACACATCCTAATATTTATTATCAGGAAGAGCCAATTGTTTCCACATCGGGGAATGTAACACCGAAACGAGGTGGAAAGTTTACTATTGAAAATTCACGACCGCTAAAAAAATTACCTGGCATCTCACACACAGATGACACAGACATCGGCTAGTAAAAAGAAGACTCCAAAAAGTAATTTACTAAATAGTAGCAATTATTGTCTACCAGTTTTTACAGTGGGTTGACAACGGCACGTCTACATAGGTCGTAACATAAATTCTAATTGTGGCCGCTCAATGGAACTGCGTGAGTGGTGGACAATCGATTTTATGAAATAGGCACCACGTCTGTATTCCTACCGGTCGTTATTATATATTTAATAGGTATTGACGTGTCTCGCGTCCGCCACTAGGGGGCGACACCTTGACATCGTTCCGTCTAAGAGGTACGTGGGACGACTGAAATGTACGTTACATACTTCGAAAGCTTTTCAATTAATTTCAACATGTTGAAGTTGACACGGTCATACATGTTGTTGGTTTATTACTATTCTTACTTTTGTTTTATTTGTTACTATGTATAATAAATATACATTTAGTTTAATTTAATTACGCCTGTTTTCTGACATAATCATAAAGTATGGAGGCACAACAAGGTTTCATAAGCTTTTAACAAATATTATATTTATTCTAAAAGCTGTAGTACAGTGTAGTATGCAGTAGGTGGTCACGTGAGGCCGCGGCGCTAGCTATGTTTTGCACGCGATCAATAAAGGCATTAATTAAGAATACGTTATGTGGTCCGATGTTGCGATAACGACAGAGGGGAACACTTCGCTGTAACCAACAACGATCCTTTCAATGCAGAAACGTTTAAATCAGATCAAATATCTTCCTCATAACTGCTCATAATAATCAGTTAACTAGATAACGAAATGAAAGTAACATCTACTCGATAAATGCATTAGCGAGCCAGGCATAATATAAATACGTGCATAATGTTGCCGTAGGTAAGTACTAAGTCGATACTACTCAATGGATGGATTGTTGTCAACTCGTGCATTACTCGTGGCTACATTAATTACGACGACGAGATTAACAGTCTAAGATTAATTGATGTAGATATCTATGATGGGTACTATAGAAGCGAGGTCAATGCACAACAAATTGTGAGCCACCTGCGTCGATTGGCCGGAGCAGCGAGTGGGCGCACCAACTGTTCGCAGAATAATCACTAATTAGTACACAAGGTCGCGAGGGTTTGTACAGGAATTCGCCTAGACCCTAATGGTTGGGCCGTTGACTACATTGACTGATTGATGTTTTCTCCAAATCTATCCATACACAAGTTCCATTTCCTCTATGAATTAAAATTAAACAATGCCCTATTAGTAATAAAATATGGTGCTTCGAGCAGATTCCGTTACAACAAAAGAATAAAATTTTACGACTTTATGCCGTTAACAATATATAAAACAACCATTTATATTGTGATCACTAGTTGTCATTTTATTAGCATTGAATTAATTGTGAATGCGAATTCATGGTGTTCTCAATGGAGGTGTTTTCAGGCTCGTTATAATAAAACAGTCGGTGCAGAGATTCCGATTCGGTTCGCTGGGTGCCCCTGTCATTTGTGATAGTGATCTGGCCTCACACAGGACCATCAAACACATGTCATACAAATATGTAGTGCACCTAATTCCATTTGAAATTACCATACCTGAACAGCACATTGTAGTTCAAATGAGTACAACTTAGCAGTCGATACTTTCTCATGTTTGAAGTAGATATTTAACTTGGAAATGATAAATAATTAAAACGATATTATGTAAATGTAATGGTTCGAGCAATTTCATCAGCATATCACCATTGAACCCCTGACATGTGTTGACAATGTCAAGCCGTCACCATAATGTCTCGTCAGTTTCGAAAAGTCACAGTAAGAAGAATATATTCGGAGGTGCATTGTGCAATATCATTAACAAGAAGACAAACATCAAGATTCTCTGATTCCTCAGATTTTAATGTATTTTGTTTATTAAACAATGGAAATTAGTAGTACTTAGTTATAGTTCAAAGTAGACAAAATTTATTGAAAATGTATCTTCTTTCCTGCGCTAAACGTTAGGTTTTTAGACTTTTGTTTGAATCTCAAAGTTGTCTTCATTATTCCATCTAGCAGAAATCACAGTTATAAAAATCAAATCAATAAAGGTTGTAATGGCACGTATTCATGAAACAAAATTCGGAACATAACACTAATTAAACTTCTGAGATAGGACTACGTTTTTATGAATGATATGTACCCGTCACGGATAACGTGTATTCATAGCATTCACTACGAAACGTACGCAATAGTAGCATAAACAGTAATGAATATTTATATGAGCAACAATGTATTTATCTAGACGGCGAGCAGACTGGCGAGATAGCCTTGGAGTCAACTCAGGCACCTCAAGCTACTATGATATGCATTCCATGTCATTTCCTACATCCTATCATGTTCTATTATCTAATTAGTAACTATTTCGGCTATCCCCTAACGGTTCAACCGAGGTTAGTCCACGCATTTTTAGACCTGAGTACTTGTCTTGAATCTAGATTCCTTAATGAGCCTATTTACATCAAAATACGTATAATGTTATTGATGGCAAAACTGTTAAACAGAACTTACTAAGGAACCTATTTAGTCATGTTATTTGTATTTTGTAATATGTGAACTTTTCTAATAAAGTACTTGTTTAGTTAGATGTACGTATGTGCTTTTAGACAATTTATTTACATACGTGTACTTAATACCTATATTTACATATTGTACAAAGGTGAAAAGCAATAGGATTATGTGTTGTAAGTTTATGTTGTTCTATTTATACTGTGACCTTCAATCATAAACATTTCTTGTCATAATTCACATCAACGTTAAGAAAGTAAACGTACAATTTTGTTCCTCTCTGTAAGGAGTAGGTATTCATGATAATCAACAGTTAATTGATGCAGTTTAATGCACCATTTGCACACAATAACAATAGATTAACAAAATACGAATTGTTATCATACAACACTGAAATATAAACAAAACTTTATTGAAAAAAAAATAGTTACCTACAGCTTGAAAGACAGATTAAAATGATTATCAAGTAATGGAAGAAAAACAATAATCGTAATATGATTGTGACAATGGACAAGATGACGTATGTTGATCAATTTAATCAACATTCAGATAATGTGCATGTTTTCAGTAGTTCTGTACAATTGAGCAAGGAGCACGCACAGAAGTGGACACGTGTATCTATACATATGTATAACGAAATCGTAGGAAAGTCAAAACTGTACATTGAATATTTTCTAAAAGAATACTTGAAGCGTGATCTAAATTCGACATCAAAGCCAAAAATATAGTTTTCAGAATTGTCTGTTTCTCTGTGCGGGCTAAAGTCAAAAAGTTCCACATTGATTTATAATCATAATTTATTTATGTACACACATTCAACACAGAGGACAATACATAATAAAAAAACAGAGTACATTTACTTCAAATTTTGCATGAATATTACTAACAGGCCAGGTCAACATATAGGCTACATAATATCACGGTATCACAAGGGGAGGAGGAGCTGTGAAGAACTATCCAAAGTCACTATTCCACGCGGACGAAGTCGCGGGCACAGCTAGTGTTTAATATTATTTTCTAGTGTCATGCACGTCACAATATTGTTTGCAATAAATATAGTAACGTCATGTTCCTCGTAACTTGTTTATTTGGTTACATAGTTGCAAGATAATGGGCCAATAGTGATGTTATTATAGATCCCGATTCCCGATAATGTTATTTACTCATATGTACATATATGATTATTTCGATCGTGACGTCAGTTATTCCCCGTAGTTGTAGGGACTATGTTGTTGTTGTATTTATTTACTTGCACATTGTAATTTTTGCTCTCTATTTCAATCTTAGTGAACTATTCTGTCGAATTTAAAGTTTACAACTGACGATTTCAGTTCTATTTTGAATTATTTTTTATGTACTTCTTTGTTGGGTGGTGATTTTATGCGTATCTGTTGGGTTGTATACCGAGAGTTGAGTTACTTTGGTCATTTAATGGGCATAAAATTGTAACTCTAAATCTAATGAATACTACCTCTATAATATAGCCGGTGGTTATATGGTGAAGGAGTTCAGGGCAAAGTTCAACGGTAGGGCCAAAAACTTACTTACTATCTTCTATTATAGACTTCAATTTTTGAACATCTGTGTCTGATAATGTACCTACTTACAACAACAAAGTAGATGTAGGATTGGACTTTAAAATAAGAAAATAGTAGGAGTTAGGTAACTAGGATAACTTTTCGTAATAATTTTGGAGCATATTTGATGTAATATATCTAATCATTGTTTGTTATGATCATCGTAAAACTCATCTTAAAAACACAAAGGAATCAAGTGACGTCATAAGCCTACTTGTAAGGTCAATGTACAGTTTAAAATTAAAGGAAAATCAATACCACCGCGGGTCATAGATTGGGGTCGAGAATTTCAAACTAGTTCAATTATTCTGAAAGAAATTGCCGTCGTTAACAATAGATGGAATAGGCAACTCGTTGGGGAAAGAAAAAAGTTCGCCATTAGTTAAGGGTGGGCTTGGGAACCGGACATTGAAATGGAGCAGTGGAACAGCTACACTTATCCTATATAGTTGTAGCTGATTAAGAATATTTTTTGATGAAAAACCCTAAGGGACTATTGGGAGACAATAAACACATTGATTTGCAGTAAACATAGAACTAAGCACGGTGTAATATTTTTTTTGACAACACGCAATAGAAAATCACGCAAATTTTGTATATATAACTTTGACAGTGGAATTAATACAAGTAG